ATCGCAATACACTGACAGTAATGCATTCATTGTAATAGAAAACCTCTTGTCTTCAGGATACTGATCTAGCAACCATTTGATGTCAAACATGTAGTTAAACTATAAAAAAACAACAATAGTTATGTGCATAAAAATTTCAAAGTGATAATCCATGCTTTTACAGTTAAGCCTGCTATTGTCAAGACACTTCCATAATCAGGACAGTATTATTGGGTCTCAAAGTACCCATGTAGCACATTATGATGTCCTTATGCTATGTAAAAATTCAGTTTAAGCCAATTCCAACTGCAATTTATCTAGTTATGGTCATTTTTAAAAATAGTCATTTCTAAAAAATACCCTGCATTTTTAAAGAAAAAAGCATGGGCTATAGCCCATGCTTTTTTCTTTAAAAATGCTCCAAAATCACCTTAATTTTTTATTACAATTTCTGATACATATTAATGTCTTTATGCTATGTAGAAAATTTGAACTGATTCCGATAAATAATTTTTTAGTTATGAGCATTTTTTAAAATGAGCCAATTTCTGAAAAATACCCTGCACTATAGCCCATGCTTTTTTCCAAAAAATGGCCCCGAAATCACCTTAAATTTTTATTACATTTTCTGATACATAATGATGTCCTTATGCTATGTAGAAAGTTTGAACTGATTCCGACAAACATTTTTTGAGTTATAGCCATCTAAAGAAATGGGCCATTTCGGAAAAATTCCCTGTACCTTCGGTCTGCAATTCGCTGTATAAGGGGTACCCGGCATCGTGGCAAAGTAGTTGACTATTCAGATTTTGACAGAGCGACCTCTGATGCCCACATTGGTATTTCTTAGATTTATTCCTTTTTTAAATTTTTATTCTATTATTATTATTATCATTATCATTATTATTATCAATATTATTATTATTATTATTATTATTATTATTATTATTATTTTTATTTTTATTTTTCCTTATCACTTTGTGTATCTTTCTTTACCTTAACCAATCTTTAACCTGTTCTTTGTTTTCTTCCTTATATTCCTTTCCTTAACCTACATGTTTATTTCTACCTTTTTTCATAATAAATTTTTTGAGGGCTCTGTTCCCTTTTCAACTGTACTATAGCCCATGCTTTTTTCCCAAAAAAGGCTCCGGAATCAATTCAAATTTTTATTACATTTTCTGATACATATTGATGTCCTTATGCTGTGTAGAAAGTTTGAGAAGAGTGTAATACCACATACACACAAGATACAATGGAATAGTATAACAGTATATTTTACTGACCTGAGCTGAACCAATCAAGTTGCCATGAATAGAATATCTATAAAAGGACATTATTACCCTTTATATAAATTCTAATTCTTTCCTCACTTTTTATCCCAACAGTGTATCTAGGATCATTATACGGATCAGGTATGCCCCTCACCTTGGTCAAATAAAATAAAGTGGGTGTGATACCAGTAGGTGGAGCTTCTACTAGAGGTTTGTCCTCAATTAAATACAATCGTCACCCTCA